CTCCTAAATCACTCGTACGCACAATTTAAGAACAAATCTGTGCATACGAACGGTTCTTGCATGAGGCCCATTGTTTAATGAGATTGTGCATCACATTACTTTTAAATTTTGAACTTTTAAGACCAAAACAGCATAAATTTTGTCAGTATAAGCTTCTTGTTAGCTAATTAGCTAATTTCAAGAACGAGATATAGACCACAAACTAAGTCACACAGTATATAGCTACCGGTAAATAAAATGGACAAAAACACATGGTATTGTATAAAAACAGTGCTTTTATTTATGTAATACTGTGGAAAAATAATTACATACCATTTTTAAAAAATATTGAAGATAATGAAATTAAAAAATGAGAGTTTGATAATGTTCGTTGTACATCTTCTGAACAGTTGTCTCTGCTACGAACAGTACAATAAGATAAACATTAGATTTTTCTAAATTCAAAGACACAATAATACAGGATTACAGTCCTACCAGAGGTATAAAAGTACTGGAACAGGATTGTGAGAGAAATGATATGGACATATATTGAAACACACACCCTTGTAACAGATGCGCACACACACAGAAACATACTGAAAACAGTCACGCTGTAGGTCGGTGCTGTGTGTTTACAGTGTGTTCCCCCATCCACACGCAGTCATTCGCATTCCTATACAATGTACAAATCAATGCAACACCCACACGCCCCTCCTTGATCTATGGCTCTCACACACCCACACGCGCTCACAGTCACACACACACTACTACGTATCAATATTGTAGACGAGCCTTCAATAAACCTCTTCGTACACATTCTCCTTAGGCCGTTTTTGGCAGACGAACAATGAGGAATGATTCAAAATGGAAATGTATGACAAGTTCCCCTGTAAGGCCATTCTAAACTCAAATGAGTGGTTCATTTCTCAGTCTGTCTGTACCAGGCTTGTAGCTCAGAGCTTGGCTAGAAAAAGCGTTAAGCTACTCATTGCAAAGTCAGAAAGACAGGTAAAGTCAAAAATCATAGATCATTTGCACAATATTGTTCTCACGTTGATGGTTAAAGTGCCTGTGACATCTTTTTTTTTTGTGATAAATGTGATTGCACTTTTGGAAAGACAACATTGATAACATATTGCAAAAGCAATTTCAAGGTATTGAGATGAACAGTTGTTGAGATATTTGCATGTGAAGTAACAGGAAGTGATGTCAAAGGGGAATGTCTGCATGTAAACAAAACTTTGCTACAACGGCTAACAACACAGACAGCAGGGAATTTTCTGATGTTTCTTTAGATAATTTTAGTCCCCATAAGAGAGAGATGAAGAAAAGTCAGAGATCAAACAATATTGTTTTAATAAACAAAGACCAGGGAGTTTTCTTTCTTAAAGAGTTCCCCTTTGATGTCACTTCCTGTTTCACTATAGATGAGCCAAATTCAAAGGAAAATATGCCAGGTATGTGATAAAATGGGTAAATCGTGTGTTTTATGTCAATTTTCCTAAATATGAAGATATTTTCTTTGACTTTTTGTATTTGAAGGCTAGGCATGTGACAGAAACTTTAATGTGTCCTTATAATAAAAATAGTAAATAAAACTAGCAAACAGCTGTCAACTACCTCATTTGTTTATTAAGGAAACAGCCAAAGGGATGGAAAATGCTTTGCCTGGCCAAAAAATAAATAAAAGAAAAAGTGGTCACCTGGATTTAACTAAGCRAATAAGTACGAGCCTCCTATTGGATAACTACTGCAAGGGCGATTAAGTTACTGTATTTAACCCCAACTGGTGCAATGAGTTGCTTCTCATTTCTTAACCCTGTGGAAAGACCCATCCTGTGGTCGTGGAAAAGATGTCAGTCTGTTTGAGAAGGATCAAATCATTGGCATCAAGCAGAGAAAACATTTAAGGAGATTGTAGAAACTACTAACATTGGGTTAAGAACTTTCCAGCCCATTAAATTTGAAGGATAGTGGGGACCCATCGTCTTGGAGGATGCACCCATCATAGTGTCTGCTGTGGGGGCAGTGCTATGATCTGGGGCTGCTGCAGTTGGTCAAGTCTAGGAAGATTATCCAAACAATGCCACAGTGAATGTGTGCCATAATCAAAGCTAAAGGGGGTCCAACGAAATATTAGTGTGCCCTTTTTTTGGTGGCAACTTTCTTTTTGTTTTGGTCAAGAAGTAGGTTCCGTTTGGGAAATCCAAAAGTTAATATGTTCGTAAATATTTCTGTCATCAGTATTTCAAAACAATATTAACTGATACACAATTGAAAATGAGACGTCACCCATTTTCCTGGAAAATATAACTAATGAGACAAATTCGCCAAGAAATGCCACCCTTTATCACTCTTCTGGTTCCACCTTCTCTAAGATGTTACCCTTATCTGGTTCTGCCATATTAGTTTACCGACAAACCACAGCCAGCCTAATGTAGGTCAATCAGCTGACTCAAACTTCGGAAAGGTTTTTGGTGAGTTCGGTCAAGTTTACATTGAGTGCATATCGGGAAAACTACCAGAGTGAACTATTTCAAACTGTATCATTTGGTATAGCTCAGAATAATGTTTTTTAATGTTTGCTTTCATACYTTGCAATGAGTAGCTTTAAACCTATGAACAGCCGTGACTTGAGCCCTCTACCAAAAAGCCTGGTTCGTAAAGCAACATTCGCCAATAGAAGGAGCTCCTACTGCATATACATGATCTAAGGTGAAGGACAACATGAACGCTTGGCACTAGGTTTCTTTCTGTTTTTTTTTTCTTTTCCTATTTTTTAATACAAAAAAAGTGAAATACGTCTTGTTGGCACAACTGTCCTCTGCTCTCCATCTCTCAGTGGATCTCTCAGCCAAAACACTCAGTTTATGTGCGCTCATGTTCAAAGTTTTGGTCCGTAACATACACATTAGATGTTTAACATCGACAAAAATAATTCTGTAATGTTAAAAAATAGGATACAAAGCTCTAGTCTCGGTGTGCAAATAAACAGAAGACGTAACAGAGATATATTTAAGGGACATCAAAAGCATGAATACTGTAGATGAAGTGCAAAATGATGTCAACCCTCCCTTTGACCCTAGCACCCTCCCCCAACCCAACGCTGCCTAACGGGGCCCGACTGTCCTGTACACACGGGCATTCTGGGATACTATATACTGTATATGTGCTCTATGATCACTGAATAAGACAATCAGCTAAAAGAAAAGTACAAATGGTGGCCAGAAATGGCTTCCACTGGCTGAGGTTTCTTCTGATCAGGGCGTACCACGTTTGACAGTCAGTTCCACTTTACAATGTTAGATCATAGAAAAGGCTAAGGGCTCCACGGATCTGTCATCTCTTGTCCTCTCTCTGCTTCTCCAGCCTTGATTGTGACGCGCTCTTCGCTCTCTCAGAGCTCAGATGTTCAAACGCGTTAGGGAAATTCTAGAAACTGAAATTTCCCCTTTCCTGCCTCGCTAAAACTTCATTTTCCACCCTAGTTTTCAAACTTCTTTTGTTGTTTTTATTTTTTTATTTTTATTTTTTTTGCTCTCTGTGTTTCTTCTGACGGGTAARGTTTTCTGACGTTGTGCATGTCTGTGTGAGATGTGTTCGTGTCTGGTGGGAATGTGTGCGGGGAAATGTGTGTGTGTGTGTTTTTAGTATGATGAGGTGTTTGCTTTTCAAACGTGAGTCTGCATTCTTTGTGTGTGTCGGCTGTGTGAGTAGTCAGAGTGCTGCGACGTGTAGGAGAAGCGAGTGGAGCTGCCGTATTTGCCGAGCCCAGTCTCTGATCCAGATGGAGCCGGGCCTCCCGGGCTGACCCCAACCCCGGGGCTGCCCACCCCGGATCCCACCCCGTACATCTCGTAGGASGGGCCGGCCTCCAGGGGGGCCAGGCTGGATGGTGCGAAGCCCATGCGGTAGGTCTGATAGTGCGAGGGGTATCCGTAGTTGTCGTAGGCCAACTGGGAGGTGGAGTCCAGGAGGCTACAGTCTCCTGGGAAGTCACTGGCTGCGGGGGCAGGATTAGCCGGGGGCTGCTGGCTCTGACCCGCACGGGTGAACGTGTTGAACTGGGCGTAGCTGATGTGGGACAGTCTGGACGGCGGTCGGGGGTCATAACAAGCCTGCGGGCGCCCAGGTGAGGTGAGGGGACCGGGAGGACCAGGAGCTCCTCCACTGGCGGTGGCCCCTGAACCTCCAGTGCTGCTGCTGATAGATGCAGCGCCCCCTGGTGTTCCAGCAGGGGAACGGTAGTCAGAGTAATGCATGGTGGAGCGGGACCCAGGCAGGACTTCGTCTTGAGTGGAAGCTCGGACGTTGTAGTACCCATTGGTGGGATCCTGGAAACACAAACACAGGACAGCAGGATAGGGTGGGTAAATAATATAAAGTGGCTCTTGTGAGTGCAGAGCTTTACAAACTGAAATGGAAATGTGCTCGTAACAAAGATCGCATCATTTTGTTCTTGTAGTAGCTTTATCCACCACTTTTCGAGACAAGGTCTGGGCCGAAATCTTTCCTACAGTAGTCTGCATGAAGTATTGTGTGATTTGTCAGAGGTTTATGTGCATGTGTCTTTATGCTAATTTTGGCTCTTGGTTAATGTTTTGCAAAATGTAAAAAAAACAGATGAAGTTTTGATAAATGCATATTTTAGCTAAGTTCTTGCTCACTTTAGCTTCAGCTGGAACTACAAATTTTATTTAAACACACACACACACACACACACACACACACACACACACACACACATATATATTGCAACCGAGTTGGGAAATCTGTAATGTTTTTTC